ATAATGTGAGGGCAAGGAATTTAAAAGTATACTCGAAAGACTACATTAATAGTGAAGAGATGAATCGTTCATCTCAACATCAAACAGTTTGAATCTTTACATCCTTCTCTTAAGAAATGAATTCCGAAAATTTCTCATATTCAGGAATTGTTTCCCAAAGAAGTGGATGTAACAAGAATGTGCACTATAAGAAAATGTGTCAGACTGATGTATTGCTAGCTATAGTGTTGTAAACTACTACAACAATTTGTTATATTATAAAGGTATCGTGGGCTAGCTGTTGACCATTCATTGACTGTTTTGTTTTATACACAAAGCTACATTTGTACATATAGCCAATAACCACGTTGAATATATTAAACCTGCGTATTTTCATGCTTTTTTTCTTGAATATATCTCAATTAGTTTGTGGTCGAGAAGTTTTCAATAAATATATCTTTGATCGAGATTAGACTGTCTTGAACAATCCAGTCGGGTTCAGACGAATTCAAGATAGTTATATGTCAAGAGAGGACCGTCTGAGGTTTTGAGGATGGATGTCACTAATTCGAATTAAATTTAAAAAATCATTATTTTCGGCTACTGAAATAAGCAAAATATGCTAAACACTAGATTTGGATCCTGTTTTTGGAATGTATCGCACTGTTGCTGGATAGAATATGTTGTACATTGTGTCGCAAAATACGATACATGCAGCATATTTTATTTTAATGCGTAGTCAGCTAAAATGCATTCTATGTTCTTCAACATCTTACTGAGATAACTGAGTCAAGATTCTAGAAGCCATGAAAAAATAATTTACATACACAGTTACAGCACTGACTATTAGTGATCTATTCATCTCATTCAATCAGTAGAGCTCTATTTAGCTCTATCGATCACTATGTAACAGTTAAATGGTTAGTCTTCATTTTCACATATTAACTCATTGGAAATATGATAAAGAGAATCATGGGTGTATTTTCTTGTGCACAAACTATTAATTATATGGCTGTTTTGAAAAAAAGACTCTTCATTGAACTTTATTTTTACATGAATCTGTCGACTATACATGGAAAATCATGAATAGAGAGTAGAGAAGCAGAAAATAATCGATATGCCCTACGGAGATTCCAACTTATGATGCGTTCTCTGGATCTAGATAAGAACGAACGATCAATCTTTTATTTTGTTTTAGTCTGTGATGTTCATTAAAATGTTCCAAGTGTCTCCAAGTGTTGCCATATATATACGCATAACTACAACAGACTCTGTGTTTTCGATTACTTGATATAATCAAGGAGAAGAGATGCAACTTGTTTACCGATAATTGTCACTCATTTCATATCCGCCACGTATTATCTGCATTTTTCAAAGGTTTCTCAACTATGTCTCACTGTTATCACACAAACGTGAATTGTACGTGGAAGAGGCTGTGGCTGATGGAGAAATAAGTTTACGAATGATTCGAGTTTCACCTTAATCTGCAGATCACGGTTTGTTCTCTTACTTATCATCAGTGGACATAGTTGTTGATTGAAACTTGGCACCGGATAACAAACAGGTAAATTTTGACATCGAGGATGATGAACACATCTATGTTCCGGTTCGTAGCAAGCATGGTTTAAGAGTTCGCATGCAACTAGCACAGAACAGTCTACGAATTGATCGGCACAAATGCCAATGTCAGTAGCATCTGCTATATGAAAACAGACGCACGCAGTATTCGATGAACATTGATCATATTGAGAAGTTCCGTGGCATATTTGAGATTTCACTAGAGTTGCCGATATACTAAATGAAAAGCAACACATTTTAAACGAAACAAAAATTAAATATGTGAATCTTCAAAGAAATATTATTTAACATTAAATGAATACGAAAATAATAGGTTTTAGAATTACTTGAATAGAACGAATACAAAATAATGAATAACTATTGAGACCATATTTTGCGTTTAAATGACACAGAATAGTGGCTGCAGCTATCTTTATACTTAATAAATAGGTGATGTTTTTCGCATTCGTTGATAGTGCAGAAGCGCAAGGATCGATCCTATGATACATGGAAATTCGATAGTGCTCCAACGCTTACTTCAGTAATTAATTTTTCTCCAGAAAAGTAATCTTCATAGAAGAAAAGAAGCGCAATAAAAGCAACATGGGATTGTTTTTACGATTCAAACAGTCAATAGGCTCATGTCATCACTCTAAACATGAATATTATTATTCTCAATAATTGACTTGAGTGAATACTGGTGGCTTAAGCAAACCATCGTACGTTTCGATCTTGCTTAAGGATATTATCAGATGGTTTTGGGCCCAGTAACTATTTCAATGGATGGCATATGAAAAGTCTGCTAGGGAGAGGGTATGGATGTATCGGTATAAATGTACATGAAATTGGTTTATTTTTTCCATCACCGGTACTGGAACGACTGTAAAAAAATCGAGCCGGACCGTCTAGCTGCTTGGTTGTTCTACTGTAAAGAGTCGGTCTGTTGGTATTGAACGGTAGATTAGTTGGTCTAAAATCCACATCAGTACCCGATCGTAGTCACTATTTATATCTATGATATAATGTGTATAGTAAAAAATATTCTATTACTCGAGCTAATTGTGGTTATAGGTTGGTGTAGAACTAGAGCGAACATCCACATCCACACCCATACCCACACGCTACATTCACAACTACCCACTCCCTACGTACACACACCGTCGTCTTCCACCAACACCCATACTTTGGAAGGGAAAGATGTAAAGAAGTCATGAACAATGATGATGAACTTATAGCTAGGCAAAATGAGAGACATTGCAAGTGTTGTAAAAGGAAATGGTAGTGTTTGCCTGTTCTCTTTTCCATATTTGCAGAGTCTGTGCTGACTGAGGACAATGAATCTGGCAGATATCAAAAGGAAATGAAACATGCCTTTATTTTACTTTATAACGTGTGCTTCCGCTCAAACTCTATTTATCAAGCTAAACATGATAGGAGATTTCATTACAGTTGTAATCAATTTACCTATAGCTTCTACACATATATCTAGTACTTTTCATGCTTTTTATCTCTTATAGTAACATGATAACGCAAAAGGAGGCATAAGCTACTGATTCTCAATAATTTAGGATAGAGGTACTTATGAGTTTGCTGACACGCGAGTATCACACAACTAGTGAGATCCCATCCATACTATGCGGCTGCTGTTCTCCTGTAAATTTTCGCATCTGGGGTTTATCTTCGATCTGGTAACAGACAATTACACATTTCACATTATATTAGATAGAGCTTGTAACCTTATACCATTGTAGTCTTACACCTTCTAGGCTTCTAGTTCTATAGTATTACCCACTTATAGGCTGATTCTCTTGTTATCGTATACCTTTAACACTTATATTCCTTTTGCCTTATCCTCTTATATACCTATTCCATTCCACCCGTCTTCCATTATGCTTATCTCCTTACACTGAAAAACAATGGTACGAGACTGAACTTTCTGAAGGTTTCATATTTGCTACCGAACCTAAAATAGTTTTTGAACACGTTACGGAACCTATAGAGATTCCGATTTTTGAAATAAAATTTGAACCGTTTAAGATTTCATATGAAAAATTAAGGATACTTTTTAAAATGCTTTTCCGACCACTCACATTCATTTTGAGGTGTCTTAGGGTTTCTACGAACCCTTTTCAAAGTTCCAATTTTCGGAAAAAATGCTTCAATATGACATCTTATTCTTTAACATTGCATGAGCTTCTTATTAGGATATTGAATCTAGTGGAAAAATCATACTGTGGAGGAGTTCTCCGTAAAAAATGCAAAAAGCAGGAATCTGTATGAAACTCTGAAGGGTTTCAGTTCTATTTCAAAACTCACAACTGTGCACTGGTGTGGCTGCTCGTGCAACTGCAAGATGTGGGTGTAGACTGTGGATCAGTGATGAAATAGACCCACACCCACCCTTCTTACTATTTCTATTTTTTTAAAATGAGTTTTACAGATTTATTGCAAGATTATTACATAGTCATGTAAGACTTTGTGGCCTAACCATTACCGTCATTTAGAAGTCAACAAATCAAGTTAGGCTTGACTGTACTTGTGACATCTAACTCCGTCGTTATATATGTCATATGTCATTTCTTTAAATATACTAATACGCGTTATTATTTCAAGTTCTGAAAACAACAGTGACCCAAAGCTAGGCAACAAGAGGATTTGAGTGTGAATAATGAGTTCATCAAAAATATAATATTCTCACCCACACCCACACTTAACCAATAATAAAGTCAGTACTGAGCCTCTGTGATATTTAGTACTGTCTGATTGCTTTTGCATAACTAATTGCGAAATCTATAACCAACATAGCGAAATGTTGCAGTTTTAATCATATAGAATTCGACAGAAATCGTCAAACTGTATTAGTTAGAATGGGTTTTAGAAACGAATAAGATTATTAAAAAAATAAGCAGAACGATCAGAAATGAAATACTAATTATGCAAATAAAAAGATCTTTTTCTTACGGTATCAGAAGAGTATGTAGGGCTCTCGTGCACTTCATTTCACAGAATTGACTGAACTGCGCTGAATGGTGTAAATTCTGAAGACTCGACAGTTTTCAGGTACCTTGACATAGAAAAGGGGTGGCGTCATAAACTATGAAAGAAGACTTCAAGGAAATATGAGAAATAATGCATGAGTAACATACGATTGGTGCATATATGGAGTATTATTCTGTTCAAGCTCTATAATTTAAAGTAAGTCATGATGAAGAAATTTACCTCAATATACATAAAAAAAGAACAGTTTTTAGAAGACTAGTAACAGCAGCTACATCATGTTTCGCATTTTTAACCCCCGCAAGGGACTACGCGAACAGCTTTTCTTATATAGTTCACTTGATGTTTAAAGTATGTGATAGTATAACATGAATATTTTAAGATTATATTGGGCATTGAAATATACATATTAAAATTATTAAATAATAAAGTCATACTGAATCCAACAATAATCATCATATATGATCATGTTAGCTTGTTTGATTGGCTTCATCTTATTATGGTTATCAATAACTCATTGTCAACTAAACCTGTATAATACTGATCGAGTGATTACTAATGATCAATTACAGTTCGACTGCCTGTACTATTATAGTCGTCAAACCAATACAGAAAATCATGATTCATCTAAGTCTGTATTTCAAATAATCAATTTTTGTCTCCGACCAATAAATCAAGTTGATGCAATGATTACTACTTTTGAAAATACACGTGATCAACAATTTACTTTGTATGAACTTCGTCAATTAAATGTAACTGTGGAACAATTACTTTCATGGTCCGCTCCGATTGATCTTATTGAAAAATATGTATTCTACATCAATCAATCAGATACCAATAATTTGTTATCAACGGAAACATTTTACAATTGTACAAAACCGTGGTTAGGTACTCAATGTCAATACTCCTTTGGCTTAGGTATGACCATGTCATTAGATAATATTATCAGAACAATTTTGCAGGAGAAATTTCTAAACGATCAAATCAGCGAGATCGTTCAAAATTTCACATGTTACACTCACATAAAATGTTATCGTGGCTCATCATTGATTTGTCTCGACTGGCGAGAAATATGTAATGGACATATTGATTGCATCGACGAAGGTAATGACGAAAATCGATGTTTTGAATTGAAAATAAATCAATGTGATGAAAATGAATACAGATGTGATAATGGGTTATGCATTCCAAAAGATTTCTGGCGAGATGATGGTAATAATCCAGAGTGCCTTGATGGTAGTGATGAATTAAAAACTGATACGAATAATTACATGGAACATTGCCTAAAAGATCCAACATTTCGTTGCGAAGATCTATCATGTTCTTTAAAAGTCAATGAGTTTACTTGTGGTGATGGGCGTTGTACAACTTATGACGGTTCGTGTAATAATGGGCGACTGGATTTATTTAAAGAATCTTTATCCAACAAAGGAAATTTGTCCAAAAGATGTTGGTTTGCCATGAGTTGTCTTTGGCAAATAATACCTAATCTAGAAAATGACTGTATGATAACGTTCGCGAACGGTATTAATCGTAATCGTTATGTGACTTATCTGTCGACATGTGATTCATTCTTCATGTTTCCTACTATACCTGTTGCTTTCAATCATGTACACTTTCTCTATCATATAAATTATTCCAAATTGGTCGAAACTGACTTTTTGAAAGTTTTTCTTCCCGATTATATTTGTTATGATAAACAGTTGTGTAAACTTATGTTATCTACATTTAATTATCAAAATTTTACTTGTTGTTCTCGCTATGAATTCGATTTCGACGATGGAGATTATTATGATTTTCTTTCATCCGTGAAAAACTACTTTTTTAACTGTTTAAGAATAAGCTATAGAATTAATCAAAGTAGATGTGAGCCGTATCTATCATTTAGTTATTCTAATAATTCGTCTTTGTGCACGTCGACACATTGGCATTGGAATCGTTCGATTGATAATTTTTCTTATGATAAGAAGAAAAAATATGAAGCGAGCCGTGTAGCCAACAAAATACATGGGTTTCAACATCAAATTTATTCTTATAACTTAATGACTTCTATGAATAATCGTTATATCAAAGGAAAAGATAAAGAAGAAGATCTAGCATCGATACCTTTTCAAAATATATGTAACGGAGACTTGGATCAACAAATTAAATTAATCGATGGACGTCATCACAGTGATGAAACTGACTGTGAATACTAGCCATGCAATAATCTGTATAGTAGGTGTGATGCTATCTGGGCATGTTCAAATGGAAAAGATGAAGATGATTGTATAAAATCCGATTGCCCTTACAATACTCGTCCATGTATATCACCGTTGAATTACACATTAGTTTGTCTATCTATCGATCGAATATCTGACGATGTCATAGATTGTCTAGGTGCAATGGATGAGCTAAAATATTGTCGAGGACCATCTTTGCATGGCTTATTGACGAATCCTTTTTACTGTTTCAATGATAGCAGGTCAAAATGTTTGGATCGTAGCCATATATGTAATAGGCAGAAGCAATGTCGACTAGGTGATGATGAAAACTTTTGTGGAAGTCATCGAAGAATATGCATCCAGATTATACTCTAAGTCATACACTAGTTGAATATGTCATTTGTCAACTATTCGATATTACGAATCGGAGAGTTAACTATTTCTCACTTAAAACATCAATTACATATCCGCCATTAGTAAAGAATGCGTCTATTAATAAGGATGGGTGGCAAATAGCTAATGTAATCGTTTCAAGTAAGAGCGAATTTAGACAAAGTAATCGACAATGGTTCTTGCAGTGTAGTCGAGGGCTACCCGTTCGTACTTGGCTTGGTAAAGAAAACTATGCTCTCAAATGTTTATGTCCACAGAGTTATTATGGTCATTTGTGTCAATATCAAAATCAACGAGTCAGTCTCACACTACAATTCTTACCAGTTGACCGATATAGTATTTACAATATTCTTGTCACATTGGTTGATGATAAATATCAAATTGAATATGATGAATAATTCGTTTTTATGTCAAGTTGGGGTTGCCGTATGAAATTTAATATTTATCTTCTATTTTCAAATCGTCCGAAAAATTTGTCTCACAATTATAGTATACATAGTGATGCATTTAATAAGATGACTTTGATCCACCATGCAAGCTGGCACTTATCCATTCCGTTTCTTTTTCTTCCTGTCAATCGTCTAGCCGCCCAATTAAGTATCCCAGTGTTACGCTTGCAGCCATCTCATTTATGCAACCTAACATGCAAAAATAATGGTCGATGCTTAAAATATCTTAATACTGAAAAGTTCTTTTGCCAATGTTCATCCAATTGGGGTGGCCGCCTATGTGATATACCAGCTAATTGTTCTCAATGTTCAATGGATTCTGTGTGTGCTGGTTCGATCAATAGTCGATCGATATGTATATGTCCTCGTACCAATTATGGTTCACGTTGTCTTTTGAAACATTGCCCACCAAATACTTGTTTAAATGATGGTACATGTGTAATTGTTGATAGTCGTATGAGTAAACAAACGTTTACTTGTTTTTGTCAGGAGCAATTTTATGGAGTGCGATGTGAAAAATGAAAAAGAAAACTGAACATTTTTTTTTGATAAAACAGAAAGCTCATTTATAGTAATATATCTTATAACAGTATTCGATTATACAAATCCATCAAATCAGGCCGTATTTAAAAACTTGAAACATACGCAGCGCATGGTAACAATCTATAGTGAAGAAACATTTCATCTGGTGTTTGTCAAATTAGATAGCAATTACTATTTAGTTGTTGTTCAAAAATATCCAAATTATGATATATCTACATCAATAAAACCTTATCAGAGATGTTTTCATATAACCGAACTACTGAATTCTACATTGATGATAATGCCACGTATTCAACGAATCAAATATTATCATTTACCATGTGCAAATCACCACACTCTGTGGTGCTTTTTCGATGAAGATTACATGTGTCTATGCACTTTAGAGCATCACACGAATTGTTTTCGATTTAATCATTCGGATACATTTCAATGTCAAAATAATGATTATTGTAAGAATGGAGGTTCTTGCTATCAAGATAATCCAAAATGTCCTTCTGTTACAGCATGCATGTGTGTTGATTGCTTTTACGGTCCCCAATGTCAATTCTATGCGAAAGGTATTGGCTTAACATTAGACGACATTTTGCGATATGAAATTCAACCATTCAAACCATTATTCAAGCAATATACATCAATCAAAATAAGCGTATTTATAACAATGTTCATGTACGGATTAGGTCTGACTAATGGGATTCTGTCGTATTTAACATTTCGAAGGAAAAATTCCCAAAAGGTTGGTTGTGGATTGTATTTATTAGTCTCATCAATCACTTCTATTCTAACATTAAGTCTATTTACACTCAAATTTTGGTTTCTTATGCTATCGCAAATTGGACTTATAATGAACCACACTGTACTCAAAATTGGCTGTATATTAATTGAGCCATTGCTGAAAATCCTTCTCTATACATATACTTGGCTTGGTGGATGCGTTGCGATAGAACGAATGTTTACAGTTTATAAAGGAGCTTGTTTTCGAAAGTTAGCAAGTATAAAAATAGCCAAAAGAGTGATATTTATTATGCCGATTCTAATCGCGATTACATTCATTCATGAACCTTTAAACCGAAATCTCTTCGATGATAAAGAAGAGCAACGAATTTGGTGTGTAGTACATTATTCTAAATTTTTAGATTATTATAACTCGATTATTATTCTTTTTCACATTCTTACTCCATATACTATTAATTTATTATCAGCTGTATTTACTATTATCAAAACAGCTCGTCAACGAAGTTACACTAATACTGAACAGAGTTACAGGCAATATCTTCATATACAATTTAATGAACATAAACACGCCATCATCAGTCCAATTATTCTTCTCATTCTAACATTATCATATCTCATAATTACAATTACGTCTGATTGTATGAAACCGTCTCGAGAAGTATCACTATATCTACTAGCCTATTTCATCTCATTTCTACCATCCTTGCTAGTATTCACCATATATGTTCTACCTTCAGCACTCTACAGAAAAGAATTTAAGCAATCAATGATGTTTCTACGATAGTATCGTCATAAATGATCTTCTTCTTAAGATCTTCCTTATTCCTAAAACTATGGCATACTTAAATAAAAGAATATAGCACAATTGTTTCTCTATATGTAATAGCGTACACTTGATGATTTCTGAATGCGTATTTCACTATTGCTTTTTTTTTCATTAAAAAATTTTAAGCTCGTGCTAGATATTAAATCATTTCAAACTAGCATGGGTGTAGGACGTGGATGTGAGTGTCGACAGACATGCAACCTCTCTTCAAGCTCATCTACCCACACTGACCCATACCCACCCCACACCACCGCACCTACGCTCACACCCACCCAAATCATATCAATAGGTCATGTGTCAAGAGAGAGAATGATTGTTGTTAACATCAATAACTACGTACAGAAACTATCTTGACAAATGATTTGAAGAGCAGGTGTCTTAGCAAATAGTGATATGATTTCTTTAGGAAATGGGGGATAATATACATTTCTTCGATCCTCAGATAATAAGCACCGTCAAGGGTGTGGGTGTGTATTTGAACAAAAACCTAAAATGCTCATACCCACACCCACACCCACACACCCACACTCACACTCCCACCCACATCCACACCCACACCCACACCCACACCCACACCCACACCCCACACCCCACACCCACACCCACACTCACACCCACCCACACCCACACCCACACCCACACCCTCTTCGACATTTATCAGTTGTGAATTTTCAATATTTTTTCTATGTTTGTCCCATTTGACACTTTTCCTTTCGACCTTTGTACAAACAATCCCCCCAAAAAAGCTCATGAGATAAAGATTCATAAACTTTGTTATTTTTTTTTTGTTTGTATTTAATTAGAGAAGGTCTCGAATTGTGAATTAATGTTTTTCATTAAATTTATATCTTTTTCTAGAGCTCGATGAGCCAATTATGATGATATGAAGAGATTATCTCTATAGACTATTGTTAAAGAGAGAGTTTGATTAGAGATCTCCATAAATGGTTGGACGTTAATATTATAGGAAGAATCGATTTAATATATACATAAGAAAAACATTTCTGAAAAATAAAAAAAAATTGTAAAATATAATATAGATTGGAACTTTTGAAATTTTTATGTTAAGCCATTTCCAGTGTTCAGAGTTTGAGTAATGAATCTATTTTCATTTATATAATGAACTGAAATAAAAGCATTAAGTATGTATGTAATGTAAATATTTCAATATCGCTAATACGATAGATGCATGAAATTCAGCTATTTTTTTTTCAAAATTTTTTTAAGAATATCATTTTAAAAATGAACTTATTACAGATTTATTAACTTTCTTATTTTCATTAGACTATACTATATTTCATTGTTGTCTAATATGTTTGTCTGGCAAAATGTAACATATAAGGTAAACTTTTGGGTGTGGGTGTGGGTATCAATAGAAGCATATTCCCAAACTCCACACCCACACCCACACCCACACCCACACTCCAAATGTGAAATATGATGAAAGCTAATTAGAAAATTTGCAGTTTAAACCAGTGTTCCAATCATGTAAGGGAAGTTAGCAGCCCATTCGTGTTTTTCGCAAGGCGATTCGCCCCATTAAGTGAGCCACGCCAGAGATGCAGTGAGCCAAATGCAGCTCGACGAGCTCTATCGAATGGTATATTCAGATTTTTGGGTGTGGGTGAGGTGTGTGAGTATGTTTCATTTGAGTCTACATCCACACCCCACACCCTCATTGCTATAGTATTGCTCGAAATGATAAAGTGCTTTTTGTGTTATATTAAAAGTGCAAAAAAATGTCTTCGAACTCTATAAAGCCTGTTATCAGAGTCTACCTCATAATGCAGCAAGGAATTGTCAGATTTAGCTTATATTTTGGATTTAGTACTATCTTGATAAGGCCTTTGTTTGACGATACTCAAATCCAAAAGAAAAAATTTTCTCCAGCCATACATCCTATTCATACGTAGTGTCTCTCTTAATTTCAAGTACAACTGTGGATAAGTGTAGTTAACGATTATGACATGATGGCTTGAGTCGCAGATGGTGCCATGCTAGTTTCAACGTCTAAACAGTCGTTTTTAACAAGTTTAATGTGATCATGCAAGTCATTGAACAGAACATGATTTCGTGTTAGAATTTTTTCAGCCATCATCAATGCCTTTTGAAAATATACATATGCTTCTTGGTAATTTTTCATTCGATAATAAACAAGCCCAATATTATCCAAACAACGTATTTTATCTTGATGTTCAACAGGCAATATCTTTTCTTTTATTTTCAGACATTTCATATAATAATCTAAACTTGTCGTATAATCCTTTTTTTCATAGTAAACATTTCCAATATTAATAAATGTTGCAGCTCTATTAGAATGATCCGATGGCAATATTCTATCATGAATTTCTTTGACTTTTTCAAAATTGTCAAGAGCTTTATCAAGTTCATTAAGAGAACAATATATACTTGCTATGTTGTTTAAAATTCCGGCATATTCCTCATCTTCTTTCCCGTATTTTCTGTATAATTTTAAAGATAATGTCAAGTTTTCAAGTGCAGAATTATAATCATGTTGTTCACTATAAACAATACCAAGCCCGTTGAGTGCTCTTGCAGCACTTATGAGACGCGGTGGTTGAATACGAGTATGCATATCATAAGCTTGTTTATAATAATAAATTGAACGTTCATATTGACCATCTAGACGACATGTTCTTGCCAAACTACTATATATACATGCAATTTTTTCGTCATTAGGTCGTTCATATAAAATTCTTTCAAAATGTTGTGATGATTTTTTATATTGACCCATATCAGCTAGTAGACAACCAAACATTAAAGTAATATCTGATTGTGAAATTCTTTTCTTTTGATATTCAATATATTCTTTTGCTATTTCTGAACCTTTATCTGTTGCTTTCATTTTAAATACCAAAATTTTGTTCATATTAGAGTTAGCATTCATGTCTTCAAATTCTTCTACACAATTGACCATTTCAAATACAGCACCTTGAATTTAAAACTAACAATTAGCAGCGACAACAAAAAAATGAAATACAAATACAAACCGATGTCAAATAATACTTCGCCTTCATCGTTAAAGACACTGCTATCAGCTATATCAGCACAAATTACTGTTTCCAGTTTCATATCCATTTCAATTTCCATTATTACTTTATTTGCAAACATCACTGCCACATCTCGTGATCGACTTGTTGATAAATAACCATTGGTTGATACTAGTTTACCTACATTTTGTCGTAAAATTTCTATCTCATCTTCAGGCAAATTAAGTCCACGATAAAGAATAAGTTTTGGTGATGTTTCAATTTTCTTCAAACGTCTAAAATGTATCATGAGGCTTAAACTTAAATCAGTAATAAAAAATTGAAATGTAAATAAAGCGTCGGGAGCAAACTCAGTTATTATGTAAACCACTTACTCCTGCAATAGAAGACCATCTTAAAGGAACGATGCGTTGGACATAATAGAAGACTTCTTCTTAATTGCTTAATTTATCAAAAAATTGGAACTTTAATTAGTATATTTGCATGACCAGAAGTCTTTTATTGCGGGGGTATTTAGTTAAATATTTACGTCTCACAAGGAAAGGTGCCCAAGTGTGAGTCTCTATTTTCAATCGGGTATATACCAGTTTGTAGAGTTCGATGAGTTGATCACGATGATATAAAGCGTCCTTGCCCACAGACTATCTTGAAAGAGTTAGGTCAATCTCAATTTGAAAAAAAATCACTGTAAACAGGTCAAAGGTCATCGAATGGAGTTTGTCATACTTATGAGAATTTTAGAACCTTCTAAAGCGTTCTAGAGCCTTTTATAGACTACTAGAGAGCAATAGGAGATTCTAGAATGCCTTGGGACGTTCTAGAACAGATCCCCAACTAGGACACTAGGTTTGCCTACCTATGACAGGCACAGACTATGATTTTTAGGCCTGATCTGCCACAGGTAGACCAAGTCGTCTAGCTTGCCTAGCTTTTTCTTCGATATAAAATTTTTAGCACATAGATGAAATTTATTTCTAAAAAAATTCAGTAGAGTCAGTTTTCAAGGATGATATTTGACTATAACGAATTTGATCAATACTTGAGCATAAATACTGATGATATACATAGATAATCAAAACTATTACCAATATGAAGAAGTTATTATCATAATAGAGAGGCTCAATAGATCGTAAAACCTCTGCTCGCTCGAAAAATTTGTTGACCTAACTTTTCAAAGACCGTCTATGGACACAAACGCTTTATGTTCTCGTGATATTTGAACATACTATGATATCTTCTGTTCTCAGTGCTTTATTGATAATACGATGAACAAATGTATCTCTTGTATACCAATAGATAGCTTCGGATGATTGATAAGTTCGCTCAAATAGTGAAATACTTTCTAGTTGTTTTTTATTATCATGATAGTAAACACGACATTTTGCTACCATCGTTCGTTTTGATTCATTGTTTTTTTTTGTAATTAATGTAATATGTCTGAATAATTGAAAAAATAGAAATGAACCTGACTCTTTCGTTAAATCACGTGCTGTCATCTGCTTTTTATCATCATATAAATTGAACATTGCTGATTGCCTCATTAATAGTTTAATCCGTTTTTGTAATATATCCATCAATTCTTGTTGATTAATAAAACAACCAATTATTTTAGAATACTTTTCTGTTAATAATCTTGTATATTTATTACGACCAACAGTAGAGTATAAAAAGATTGAATAGATTTGTTTTAATATATGAATATTTGATAATAATTCATCTGAATGACAGTATGGTACAATAATAATAAATATTTGTTCATCTTGATTCAAATGAATATAATGTAAAAAATCATGTTTATCTTGGAAAAATAGAACGTAATCGTTTATTTGTCGAAGTGTTTGTCTTCGAAAAATTTTATCATCATGTGATAAATCATTACCATTCCATTCCTCATACCAAACTAGGGTTATTGGTTCTTCATTTTTACGAGAGCTTCCATTTGCCATTGTCACAATGTTTGATAGCGGAGCATTAATTGATTTTTTATTTCCCATTTTTCCGTGTTTAGAGAAGATTTAACTAGAAGATAAAACCCTCTAATTTCATTCTTCTTAGTCTTAAAACAGAGAAAATATGCATCTCACCGTTTTATGTTGATGAGATGGTTTCAATGATTCAAATAATACATACAGTGCTTGTATGTTACGTCACTAAATTATGTTGATTCATCTAAGGAAGTAAAAAAATAAAAAATTTTTCTTCTGAGGGATCTAGTCAAAAGAAAAGTATTATTTTATAAGCGTGTAGCATGATTCTGACCAGGTGCAGTAAACAAACTTCGTTTTCGCTCATGGTTAATTGGAGTTTACTCATCGTTATTAATCACAAACAAAGAAAAAAAGTACTAGTATAAGAGACTTAATGGTAAAATATATATAGATTCATGGCTGAAAGAATCAAAATACATGCATATGGGCTCAATTACAGTAGATTGAAGCATTTTTTATTTTTACCGATGAATAAAGAGAACCGGCATCACAGGTAATGAATAGAAAGCAATATGGAAAAAACCAACAGAACATAAGACAAAAATCACTAGTGTTCTTACGTCGAAAATATTTGAATAATACGTAAGGTGCACGCAATTCGAACTTCAAGTTAAATTTCTTTTTTTGACTTTTTTTTTTACATCGTGTGATACAGCTTGAGCTGCTGATCACGAATATAAGATCTTTAGCCTCATTGAACTCTTTCTTCCAGTCGAAAATTTGAAATACTCGAAAAATGCCGTTTTCATCAAAAAAAAAGCATTTTGGCTGTGAGTGTGAGTGTGAGTGTGGGGTGTGGGTGAGGGTGCGGGTGGGGTGTGGTGTGGGTGTGGGTGTGGATGTGGGATGTAAGGTGTGGGTACAGGTCTTATCTATGCTCACACCCACACCCACGTTCACACCCACACACCCACACACCCACACTGCACACCCTGTGGGTCTCTTTTTCAGTCTTTCTGATGTGGATATTTACTTAATTGTAGTCACATGCATGGTTACACCTACATTCATACTCATGAACACACCGAAGTTCTTAGACACGCACACACCTACATTCACCTGACACCGAAACCCACATATCAAACTTTTATTCATATGCTTCAACTAATGGAGTGCTTTGTCAACCGAAAGTTGTTTCGCGGAAAGTTTTTTTTACTAGGGACGTGCGCGGTGACAACATCATAAAGAGGAAGTACGGTTTTCGGTAGATGAAGTAGTAGCATTGTATGCTAGTCATTTCGAAAGTAATTTTTCACTTCATTAAGTTTTTTAAGTAGTTGAATATATCATAGCAAATCAAATGTGTGTACTGTTATCGAGGTATATACTTAAGAAATCGAAAGAAAAATGAGAAAGGAAGAAAGAATGGATGTACGCAAAATTTTACATTTCGCTTTCAGCTATATAAAACAAGCTCAAAAATAGCAGAAGGAACCAATCGGCTGAAACGTGAGTATCATTGGTTTGGTCTCAATTTTTTTACGTTTGTGTTATACAGTCAAGTGATTCATGTTGATGAAGAATTCGATCTTTGCGACCAAATTCCTTTCTAGAAAAATTATTTTCGAAGAAGCTTTAGTTCAATCAGCAGAACTATTCAGTAAGATTTTTGCCGTTTTTAAAGGGCCGGAGACGTTTAGCCTTGGTATCGGCTTCTATAGAAAACATAAGCAGTTTCATATAAAACTTCCAGCGATTATAGGGCTCAGAGTCAGTAGTCACTCCTATAATGTTTCAGCTTGACCGGTGAAGCTTTTTCCTTACTTTGATACTCAGTCATATAGACCCTTTTGGGCCTTCTATGGGTCAAGAATCATTCATGTTAGATGGTATATGTACATACTTTGATAGACGATTTACATAACATTCGATAGTGAATTTAATTCTGAATAAAGGTTGTATAGATACATTCGAGTAAAAACCAAAGATTGAGGACAAAAAATTTCGAATATTCTTAATATGTGATCATATACAGGCTTTGCTGGAACGTTGTGTATCTTCGATCTTTACTATATGATTTAGAACCGAAGCCGTTTTTCAGCATCGCTACTAATCATTAAGAGCTACAAAAGTCCTCGAATCAGTAGCTGCAAAGGGTATAGGTGTGTGTGGGTATGGCTGTCGATGTGTGAGTCCGGGTGTGGGTGTGAGTGTGGGTGTGGCTGGGTGGTGTGAGTGAGTGTGGGTGTGAGTGGATGCGGGTGTGAGTGGGTGCGGATGTGAGTGTGAGTGGGTGTGGGTGTGGGTGCAAGTAAATGGGGAGATGATGCTCACCCACACCCACGCACAACCATACAGCATTCACTCACAGCAACACCCCACACCCGCACCCACACCCACATTTCACACCCACATTTCACACCCACACCACCCACACCACCCACACCCACATCCACACCCACACCCACCCCCACACTCACGCTCACACCCACACCCCACACCCGTATTTTCCTAGCCGACGCTCCATTAAACAACGTTGTTGGTTGATGTGTTAGTAAGCATATGGATTTTTAGTAGGAATTTCAAAGAATATGATGCGTTTTCACAATATTGTCCGTATGAGTTTTGGTCCTTGATCTCTCAGAAAATTATATAAAATCTCCTGTTTTGGGTGCGTGCGGATGCTGTCCCCGTAGCTTAGCTCGTTTGGATTCCTGTTGAGTATCAATGTATGGATGTCAATTTGATTAGATGAGTTTATGACAAAACCATCACACGGACCTGCGTACCATTGTGCACAACGGTATTGCGACTCATATCGATATCCACACACACTTACTCATCCATCCTTTTGAAACATTTAATACTAACTTTACCGAAGACTTCGAAGCAGTGTATAACATAGAAAGAGTCGAATATTCAGTCGAGGGTCAAGCGCGTCACAGGGACGAGCGTTACTTACTTTATAGCCAGTGGTATGACGAATAGAATGAGATAAAATAATTGATTCCATCACTTACGTAGAAAAACTAGATAGATTTACAAAATCGATCAATACATAGTGAACTCGATGCGATTCGAAGCGCCATCGCCAATCGATTTTTGGGTCTAGAGTCGATTTAATAACATGTCTGTACTCAGTTTTTGATGCTGAATCTGAAAAAATATTCTGAGAAGCCGAAAAAAAGAACGAAGTAGAAAATTTCGCACATTTTGGAAAAGATGCTTTTTTTGATGAAAACGATATCCTTCGAGTATTTCATATTTTTCAATTGGAAGTAAACATTCACTAAGGCTAAACAGTAGATATTCGTGGTCAGCAGTTCAAGCTCTATCAGATGTTGTAAAAAAAGTCGATACAAAATTTTACTTGAAATTTGCGTTGCGGGCACCTTAAGATCAAAGAGTACGTACGTTTTTCAGATTAAGCTCGAGATGCAGTCAAGTGATACTCTAGAATTTAAAACTTATAAAGTGGGCGACAATAAACAGAATGTGAGGAAACAAATCTCAAATGGAAATCAAGGTTTAACTGCTGCACCACGTGTACATAATGAATATATCGAGGCGGAACATACTTGGTATGAAGAAATCGCTGGTGTTGTATCGAACGACGATGATCCAAACATGTTATGTTCAACATTTCGAGTATGGTTCATTGGCTTGTTTTTTGTTGTTTCGTTTACCGTTGTTAATACATATTTTCATTATCGTATGAAACGAATTGTTTTAGATGGTTCGCATATATTTCTGTTGTCATTTGTCTTGGGTAAATTTCTCGCATTTGTATTACCCAAAAAATCATTTCGTCTATGGCCAAATACGAACTACTGTTTCTCATTTAATCCTGGTCCATTTACAATAAAAGAACATGTTCTGATAGTCGCAATGGCAAACTTAACAAACAGTAGTTATGCACTCAATCCAATTGATGTACAAAAAGTTTATTATAAAAAATCGATACACCCTATACTAGCCTTTGGTTTCATCCTCTCATCACAACTCATAGGATATGGTATCGCAGGTAATGCAGATCCTCTAAATATTTGTGAAGCATTAATAAGATCTAGAAAATTTTTCAGGTATCATGCGTCGTTTTTTGGTTTGGCCTTCTTTATTGACTTGGCCAACAGTCATACCCTCTGTAGCCTTATTTCGAACTTTACATGATGAGAATGTAGATAATCATACGAACTCCAGTTCCAAGTGGAAATTCAGTCGTCTACAATTCTTCTTCATTGCACTCACATGTCAGTTTATCTTCAGCTGGTTACCGAACTATATAATGCCTATCTTAGCCACGTTTGCATGGATTTGTTTCATGCAACCACATAATGTTCTCCTTAACAAACTGACCGGAGTATGGGCATTCGGAATTGGTGCATTGAACCTCAAATGGGATCGATTACAATACATAATTACATCATCATTAGTTGTGCCCGGATGGGCTCAGGTAAATCTTGGAATTGGCTTTTTTCTCATATCATGGATCATTGCACCAATTCTCTACTATTCAAATTTATGGAACACTAAAAGTTTTCCCATTCGCAGTCGAGGTCTTTATAAGTCTAATGGAAACTTCTATAATTTGTCGGCAGTCCTTGTTAATAATTCTGTAATGAGCAATCATTTTCGTTTGAACATAACTGCTTATGAACACTATGGGTTGGTGTATTTTGGGCTTTCAGATGTAATATCTTACGCATGTCAGTTTGTTTTTATTCCAGCGCTTCTTGTACACACAATACTCTATCATGGAAAAGATATTTTGAAACAATTTTGTACATCCTTACAAAATCGTGACAACGATATACATTGCCGATTAATGGCTCGCTATGATGAAACACCCGAATGGTGGTTTACTATTTTGTTTATTCTTCCTATGGTGATTAGCATGATTGTCTGCCATTTCTCTGAGTTACTTTCATGGTATTATTTGTTAATTGCTATTCCTATAGGACTTGTGCGTATATTGCCTCTTGGTATTCTTGGTGGTAGTACTGGTATAGGAGAACTAAGCTTGGAAATGGTCCTGTTTAGTCTTAGTGGTATTATTCTGCCCAACAAACCATTGGCAACGATCACATTTTTCTGTTACACTGGGTGGACATTTGGACAGTCTAGTAACTTTATTGCAGTATTAAAGCAGAGCCATTACATGAAGATTCCACCCAGAACCATGTTCAGCACGATAACTATATGTACAGTCGTAGGCAGTATAGTTAGTTTTCTTACAGCGAATCATTTGTACAATCATACGACAGTTATGTGTGAGAGATTTAACCCTGAAGATCCTAATCCTGGGTCGATATGCACACGCCGCGCTCAATGGTTATTTCTCCTTGGATCATATTATTCAGTGATTGGTACGTGTTTCCTATTGGTCTCAATTTTTTAAACCTTACAAGACTGTTGAATTTTTAGGTCCAGCTAGGCTCATTGGCCATTTGAGCCATTATTTTTCGTTGTTGGCATTGATTCTAATTGGTGCAGTGCTCCCAATACCATTCTGGTTTTTAAAGAGAAAGTTTTCTCAGAAAATTCATTGGTTGCAATACATTCATGTTCCAATTATACTTATTCCAGGAAATATAATGATGCTAGTTAATGGTGGGACTATTCTAACATGGCTTTTGATTGGTTTTATTTCTAATGTTTGTATGAGTCGTTGGTTGTATGGCCGTTATGCACGTCTTTTATCAATAGCCACAGATATGGGTAACGTTTTCAGTGAAGCATTAATATTTTTCATTTTCTCCAGTCGAAATATTCGATTTCCTCAATGGTGGGGATCCGGCACTTCTTACCAGGACACTTGTCTAAAACGCAATTAAATGGGCTGTTTACAGTCGATAACGGCATTGTTATGTTTTCATTCATTGACGAAGTGTTTAATTCTTACAGTGGTTTAGTTTTGCTCCAAACTACATTTAATTAATTCATAAAGATTTTGATACTTTAAAGCGTAAACATTTTTGATTTGTTAGGAATAAATCCATGAAATCGGGATGGGTCTTTCCTTCACAATGTTCTGTCAGAGTTGTTCATTGAAAATACATTATTACGTGTAAATATATATGCCCATTATTATGTCACTTCATAGCTCTAATGATACAACTTACTGTGTTTGCTAAATGTTGTTGCATCGCTTCCTATTAGCAAGGTCTAGGGATGCACCAAATCCAATTCTTGTCAAATCCAAATCCAATTCTAGAATTGGATTTGACTGGATTTGGATTTGGTGAACCCTAGCAAGGTCATTTAGGATTTCATACGATTCGAGATAGATAGTGACAAAAAAACAGTCAGGGTGGCTCGAGCTTTGCAGAAGTATGTGCCTTACTCGATTCAATTTGCTTGACATCGGAATCCGAACGGTATTAAGCCCAGCAGTCATTAGATAATCCTTTTCTTCTCCCCTGTCAAGATAACGAGATGCAGAGATATGAAATCGCCCCATCATACACACTAAATTTAAATGTGTCATGTTTATGTGTCGTGAATTATTGTGTCGTACACTCCAGCAGAAAAATGTGTCGTGCTTAGAATGTGTCATATACGAATTTGTCGCGTTCTGTTTGCTGACTATTCGTTCACCGTTTTATTATGCACACTTGGTGATATATAAACAACGTGATTTAACATAGAAAAAAACTTCCAATTATTTTTATTTTCTAGATTATTTCTCGATTATTTTTTTTTATCGAGAAAATGCCAATCTCGATCCATGATCGTGAGAGGACTACTCTGAAGCGGTCTGATACAAATCAGATCAACTCGAGATTGGGCAGATCCCAGGATCTGACCAGATTGAGTTTTCAGAATAGGAATAATTAAATGGAATTAAATTGAAAAAGAATCAAAATATGATTTTCCAAAAGGACCAATAGGAAATGTGTCGCATGTGTCGTACGTAATGTGTCGTGGTCCTACTGGAGAAAATGTGTCGCAGTGAGCTCCTTGCGTCGCACTTTAATGTGTTGTACAATGTGTCGCAAAACACGACACTTGCGACACATTTTAACTTAGTGTGTAGAATCGCTCATGTCTGATGCGAAACACAAGATTTTCGCACGAAGATTTCAGGGCCGGTAAATATTTCGACGACCATAATATCACACCATGTAATAAAAAACTGCAATTTCACTATAAAATACGTGCTAAACGGTATTTTGTTTCTTGCTGAATACCATCGATTATATAATGAGCCTTTAGAAGGCATTGCACCTAACAAGAAAACACACAGAACTGATAAATCGGTTTTGAGTCGAAACTACGTGCATCATGTAGTCCCTAGTGAGCTATGAATACCATGAAAAGAGGTGAGTGTCGGTGTCGGTGTCGGGTATGAGTATGTTTCAATATGAGTCAACACCCTCGTACTCCTTTTTCTTATAAAAAATATAACTCATTCTTTTGCTTTTTCCTTTTAGTATAGAATCAATAGATCCATGATTAATCCGTTCCCTGAATATATTCGTACGAGAATTCTTATGTAACCAAACATTTATTCCCTTCTTGTGTAAGAGAAAACAACTTAGGGTGGGGTGTGGAGTGTGAGTGTGAGTATGAGACAAAAACAGACGCCCACACACCCATACCCATTAATAGTATCGTCTTCGAAGAGAAATGGTCGAACCAATTGATTTCTTGACTTGGTACACCACACGTTTTATTTGTGAGATTTCATAACAGTTTTAATAGTAAGGTGTGAATTAGTTTCAGACCAATATCTGACGTTATGTTTGTTGACTAATCCATTTGAATATTCAAAGGAGGGGGGCGCGTTTGCACGTAAAACGGCCCTAAATAAAAATCATCTCGGAACACTTTATAAAATTGAATTTCATCTTCCTCTAAGTAAGAATAAAGCATCTGGGCCTCTTTCAGGTCATATTTTGAGGCCTCTTCTCGACATTTCTACCTAGGACAGAAGCATTATCAATATCGGAATCTCCTCACAGGTTAACCGCGTTAGTTTACCAAATTAGTTTCATATTTTCAGGGGAGATAGAGCTTTTCAAGACCTTCAAAATGATCACAAATTGTTAAGGAAAATATGCTGCGCTCGACAATTTCCAAGGACCACACTGTCCAGGTTCTACAGCAAAACTCATTGTGGGTGTGGGGTGGGTGTTGGTGCGGATGTGGGTTGATGTAGTTCTTCTTTTAACCCACACCCACCCCACTGCCACCGCCGCCCCCACCCCCACCCCCACACCCTCCATAGCTGCGCGAACACGAGTTCGTCATGTACTGGCATCTACTGACATATATATGTACTCCGAAGAAATCTAGAATTCATGTACTGGCACATGTATGTTCTCCGGAAAAACCTAGAATTCTAGAGTTAATATAGTCGTACGTAATCACATGTATCGACCATGTTATGCTCTATATGAATGCTCAGAAAATCATCGAGAATTAGAAAACAAATGGGTGTCCTAGAAACCGAAATGAATTTCCGGAAATGGAGATAAATTCATGGAAACAAAAGATAAATTTCCGTAATCACGAATAAATTTCAGGAAGGGCAAATGAATTTCCAGCAAATCTAATGACTCTCCGGAAACCACAAATACGTCCGAAAACAAAATGGTTTTCAGAACAACATATTGAATATTCTGGAGTCAAACTGATAATGGCTTTATGACAATTTCCTTACCATGATACTCACATAACAGATGTGAAGAATAAAAAAACATGCAGTATTTCTCTGAATGTGGGTGCGCGAAAAGACAGACACATTCGGAAACCAACACACACAGCGCATCTTTCTCACTGACGATGCTCGGAAAGATGGACACATTCCAAAGGTCACACAGCACATATCTCTCTGCTGAGGATGCTTGAAAATCATGATTCCACATGAAAAACAGATTCCTCGCCGGGTAAACTTTACCCAATTTGAATGAAAATCTTCGAATTTCGCGTTTGCGATTCATCCAGCAAGAAATCTGTTTCTCATGTGGAATCACGACTTCCAAACACCCTCAGCAGAGAGCTATGTCCTGATGTATGTGTCATGAAGATTTTCGTAGCATCCTCAATAAGATTTTCGTGGCACCCTCACCCTCAGGGAAGGAGGCGTGTGTTCATCAAATGTCTGAAGAAATTATAAATGAAACGCGGGTTAGTTAACTTTTAATATGATCAATTTTTTTCAAATAATTTAAAAAGCCAAGTTTGAAGATTGGACATCGATGTTTCTGATCAGATTTTTCAAAAATCAATCACCGAAAAGCAACTATAGTCTTTCAATACTTCGACTTATTCATCTTTTAGAAAATATTTATTCAATCTCTTTTTATTTTATTTAAAACGAACTATATACAAGAAATAAAATATATTTTGTTAACAATTAAATCTTACAATCATAAGTATAATTTCTTATTAACATGATCTACTAAATAATCACCAAATCATTTTTCTAATTTAATTAATCTCTTCAATGCTCCTAAGGATATTTTATGTGTTTGTAAAACCCACAAAAAGAATAAATTACGACTATTTTCATTATTCTTTTTCAATAATAATCGTTTAATGGACAAAAATTCTTTTCTATTTATTTCAGTTGTAAATTATTTCAATCGAGAACGTCAATCAATGATCAAATTGAATTTGTTTTAATAAAGAATATTCATCGATGATCAGATTTTGAATAGTATTTATATAAGAGACTAATCGAAATGATTGACTTTGTTGACTTAATTCATATTCTATATCGTTGATTCGTATAAATAGTTAATTTAGCAAGTTGTGATACAGGAAAAATACGATTGAAAGCGTTTGTAGTCAGATGATCAAGTGCATCATAATATTGACTGAAAGTAAGTTCTGTGACATTTGGAAAATAATTGGTAACATTGTTCGCGATTTGTGTAGTGTATATATAGATATGATTAACTATATCTAAATTTGTTTCATGATCAGGTGGACAATGATTTTCATCAGTATACTAATGTAATGTATAATATTTTCTCCTAACAAATTAATATTAATATAAACATATTAGTTTTGATAGTACTGTCACATATCCAGAAAATCAGAGATTAGAGAAAATCATATTTAACAGAGAAAGCAGTATGTTCATCCTAATCTCATCCAGACTTAAGAGAAGAAGATATTTTCAACAGCATCATCATTTTATTGAACTGATACGCGCCATTCTCGTTTTGTAGACACTGCATGCGTAATATGGCGTTTTTGTTTAAAAGTCTTACGAGGGAAGGTATCCAAGTGTGACGCTCCGTTTCGAATCTGGTATTGGCCATTTTGTAGAGCTTAGTGAGTATAGCACGTGACATAAAGGGTTCGTCCCCATAATGGACTTTTAAGGAACTACGAGGTACTACAAAGGATATTCTATAATGACTGGGGATAAATTGTTAATGATATTTTGCATAGTTTATATTGAGATAGAGAGCTGAAATTTTTATCACATATATGTCTAATCAAGATCTTTTATTCCTGAAAGTTTCAGCTCTCCAGCTATAACTAGTGGTGAAATATATCGACACGATTGATCCACAAATTTTCCTACTCGATTTTTACAT